AGGAAATGGAGGTCCATTGTTTGCTCGTATTAATGTACTAAATAAAGAGAACCTTAACTATGGTATTGAGACTAAGAAATGCCCTTGTTACTGAGAACTGTTTCCACTGAGCAAATGACAATGAATTCCTGTCCAGGCACAATGTAATTGTGAAAATGCATTGCACAAGGGTATCTGCCAAAGCACTGAGGGGTTGGAAATTTGGCACACAATCTGTTTGCCAAACTGTGAACCTTTGGAGTGGTCTCTGCCCAGAGCGGTGCCTTTTCTTAATTTGGCCGAAGGTACCCAATGGTATGGTAGAGGACTGGTCCTTATCTATGGGATTCTTGACCAACTCTCCCTGGCTGACAGCAGCATTGCTGTTCTGGGGCAGCATCCTGGGCAGCTGACTGAATGCTGTTACTGGAGCCCCAGCTGCTCTTCTCTTGCCTTTCCGGTAGAGACTGGTCAGTTACTGCAGATGGGAGATGGCTGGCCTTCCCTTCTATCCACTTGCCTCTGAAACCACACTTTCCTTGCTGGAGACAAAGGAAGTTATTGATGGCAAGTTGTTTGCACTCCCAGGTTTTCTTCTTCTGGGGTCTTAGATAGGAAGCTTGCAGGACTCTTACTGAATGCTGACATTCCCTACTTTATGTTATGGAAGTTAGTGTTCTGATGGCCTCTGTTATTGTGACATGGAGAAGGGTTATAGCCATCTCCTGACTTTTCCTTAGGTCACCTGCACTTCTTTCTGGTCTCATAGTCTATGGTCAACTCAGTAACACCAGGCCTTTGGAGGCCCCCTTCGGCCTCCCCTGGGCCTGGACCAGTGATAGTTGCAGGGTGGGCAGCAGCCTTATTCCAGGGGTCAATGGCAGAGCTGTCAGCGAAGCTGAACAGGAGGCATCCTCGTGATTTGAGTCGTTTCCTGATGAAGACTCAAAAGCAGGTCTAGCAGTTCCAAAACCCTCCTTCCATAGAATGCTGTGTTCGATTTTGTCTGTAGACGCCTCATCCTTTCCAGGTGCCTCTGATAAAGTAAATCTGTTATGAGGACCCACAAATGGAGGCTGCCCCAGTGGCCCAGGCCATCACAAATCTAAACCTAAGTCAGCCTGCACTTGTGGAAACATCTGTCAAGGACACCTAACATACACCAATCACAGTCCTGAAACAGCTTTAGCGAGCTTACCTTACCTCTTCAGTTCCTGCTAGCCTTATAAGGAATCCCTCCCCGTTTCCTAGCCAGTCATGCCCTGTTCTCTTGTTGCCTCTTCTAATGCCTGTAGGAATAGAAAAATTTTCCTTCTACCCTTCTAGATTCTTTGGCTGGTCTAATAATCAAATTGACATAAGGCAGATCAACAGGAGAAAAACTAATTTCATATGTGTGGGAGCCCCATAAAAATATGAGAATATGAAACCCAAAAAGCAAGCCAGGTAGTTAAGGCTTATATAACATCCTGAGCTAAGGAAAAGAGTAGCGGTTTAGGGATACAAAGGGGAGAAAGGCCATTTATAGGAAAGAAGGGGATGTTTGAAAATCAAAGGTTGCCCTGTTATACAGATAAGTTTCTTAGGTAAAAAACTATCTCTAGTAATAACTCTCTTCCTGGAAGTGGCTGCCTTTCCAAAGTAAATGCAGGCAGTTGAGGGGGAGGTATAGAATTTTTCCTAAATCTGCTGGGTATTGATTACCTTTAGCTCAAAATAATCTTCACACCAAAGTGGCATGCTTTGGGGTGACAAATTCTGCTCCCCTTCATGCTCTATAGAACTTGCTCTTGCCCACATCCCTTGGGAAGACTGCTGCAGTGATTGTGAGGCACTGTATGCCCCCAGTCCATGGGTTGTTTTCCCTTGACTAAAGGACATCAGACTCATTTTGAAATTGTTTTAGTTTTGTCATTTGAACCTCTCCTGTCCCCTAGATCACCACATCATTCCTGAATGAGGGCTGGAGGCCTGTGTCGGGGCATGCCCCATTCTTTGTTATCCCTCACCCCCACCTTCCAAAATTCTAAATGTCCTGTGTTGCTTCTAGAAAGGGCAGTGGGAAGAGGGAAGACAAGGAGTCTTGTATTCTCCTAAAAGGCTGAGTGTATGTGTGAAAGGGGAGGGAACAAAGGTGTGGGTGGGGAAAGAATGGTTTGAACTGGAACCACAATCTCTTTTACAAGAACATAGCAACCTACAACCCACAGCAAGGTTCTGACACACTCATTAGGAAGCCCTTATCCAGGTGTGCTTCCTCCTGGAAGCCTTTGTTACACACTTGAAATAGCAAGTTCTTGGAGTCCAGACCTCAGCTAGTGTCAGCTAGTCCTCTTGCTCAACCCTAGAACAGTTAAAACCAGAAACAGACAAGACCCCTTAACTGATGCTCTACCTGAAACCCATTGTTCTTATTTCTGAGGCATTGGCGAAGATATTTTGCAGTGACTGGAACATTCCAACCACCAGGCCAGAAAAGCCCTAAGAGTGATGGAATGCCTAGAAGTCCCTACGCCACCTGTCCCCTTCCCCACCCATGATCGTGTGCTGAACATCTGCTGACCCCCATCTATGATCACATGCTGTCTGCCTGCTCTCTTGCACGTACCCCCTGAACCTCTCTCCCTATGAGAAGGCGTCTGTCTTGCCGGCAGAGGGGTCAGGTGTTAGGGCTTGAGCCTACCACCTGCACCTGCTGCAGGCTCCCAAAATAAATCTCTTCTATTCTCTTTTCTAAACCCTTCTCTCTTGAGTTATTGGCTTCTCTTACAATAAGTTTACCTGAGTTTGTTCAGCGGCAGTGTTGGAAAACCCAGCCAGGAACTTTGCTTTCTCTTTGTCTAGCATCCTTGAGATTCCTTGGGAGGGAACAGTTGAGGCAATGCACCAGAGCTCTCCCATTTGTTTCCTGAGTTAGTGATGACCAGTAACACTAGTACTGGTTTTTCAGCCTTGGGCAAATCAGTGAACATTTTTTTTTTTTTTTGAGATTTTACTTATTTATTTGACAAAATGCAAGCAGGGGGAGGGGCAAAGCAGGGAGCCTGACAGGGGACTCCATCCCAGGACCCTGGGATCATAACCTGAGCTGAAGGCAGACGCTTAACCAACTGAGCCACCCACGCACCCCTCAGTGAACTTTTTTGTGCTTCAATTTCATCCTTTTTTTTTTTTTTAAGAGAGGTGGGGGGAAGGGCAGAGGGAGAGGGAGAGAGAAAATCTCAAGCAGACTCCATGCCCAGTGTGGAGCCTGTTGTGGGGCTCTATCTCAACCTGAGATCATGACCTGAGCCAAAATCAAGAGTTGGATGCTCAACCGACTGAGCTACCCAGGTGCCCCTCATCATTTTTAAAACAGAGATAATAATATTGCCTGGGTTGTTATGAAGATCACATTGAAGAAATTACCAGACAAAAATAAAGTGCCAGTGTTACTACATTTTGTCTACTCTACAATGGTAGTGATTATAAGAGGCATCATTATTTTAAATACCACTAAGGAAGAAAAAATATCCTGTCAGTTATCCGTAGCACATCATTTTCTTGTCAGAAAATTTCTGCATATTTAAATACATTTATTTGGACAGATTTCTATCATAAATCATCCTTCTGCATTGGTGAAAAGGAACTATAAGTGAATATAAATTAAGGTGCTCTTAAATTTCCCTACAATCTTGATCTACTTCTGCTGAATCATTTGTCAAGGTGGTTAGTGCTATCTGAGTTTTTCCCACACAGCATTGCCTGTGTATCATCATGAGCATTAGGGATGCAATGTTTCTTAAAAGAGTGCTTCATACTGTCTTTCTTCCAAGCCAGGATTACCAGTTCTGCATAATCAATATGTACATACAAGCAATGGTATGTATTTTCTGCCCAGTGCTTGACCAACTTAAGACATCCTGATTCCAGGGGTCAAGTATGAAAATATGTAACTTATAGAATTGACAAAATAAAGTAGTATAATTGATTTCATCTTATTTCATAGGTTTGGGTTTGGAAGGGGAGCAAGTGTTGGGGATGAAGAATTTCCTCTGCCCTTTAAGGTCCTTCTAGCTGGACTAAGAGTCAAATTGACAGGAAACAGATTAACAGGAGGAAATCAAATTTAATAGTGTACGTATGGGGAATCCACACAGGCATGGCAATTCCCAAGACAGTCAGGCACAATGAGGCTTATATGATGAGCTAAAGAGAGGGGTAGGGGTCTGAGAATACTGAGGGGAGAAAGACCACTAGAAGGAAGGTGAAAGGAGGTGTTTGGAAACCACAGGTGCTCTATTATGTAGAGAAGTTTCTTAGGTAGAGAGGAATCTTTGTTAATATTTCTCTTCCTGGGGCGCCTGGGTGGCTCAGTTGGTTGAGCCTCAGACTCTTGATTTCGTCTCAGGTCATGATCTTAGGGTTGTGGGATTAAGCCCATCAGGCTCTGTGCTCAGCGGGGAGTCTGCTTGAGGTTCTCTCCCTGTACCTCTGGTCCTTTCCCTGCTCACACACGTGTGTGTTTGCGTATGTGTGTGCTGTCTTTCTCTCTCAAATAAATAAACCAATAAATCTTTTTAAAAAGTAGCTTTCTTCCTCGTACAAGTAGGCAATTGAGAGGTGATAAAGAGCTTTTCCTGAATCTGCTGGGTTTGGATTGCTTTTAACTCAAAATAGTGTTCGTGCCAAAGTGGCCCGTTTTGGGGCTGCCTGCCCTTGGCCCTACAGAAACATGAAAGCCTCTGTCTCATCTCAGGAACTGTACTTTCTGTTTGCACAAACTTGGGGTGGGTGGCTTGCCTGGAATAGGGCCCTGTGGTGTTAACGGGACAGGCTTCCCAGTGACATGAATAAATCTTACAAATAATTTTGTGTGTTTCCTCATTTACCTACTCTTTTTCTTCCTTCCTGTCTGCTTTCTGGTTTTCCTTTGAAGTTCCCGAGTCCAAATCTGGTTCCTAAGAAGCATCAAAGGAAGCCTGCACTGGAGGCCCCCACGTCTCCTCGGAAGCTGGACGGCATCTACTGTGTGAGACGGGATGGCGCCCCCCACCAGTGTGCCCTCCTCATTGCTGCTGCTGACGGCTGTTGCAGGTAGGAAACCATCACCCTGGAGACCCTAGCATCGCACACGAGCCTCCTGTCTTTGGCTTAAACGACTCAGGTCAGAAACAAGGCAGAGGATCATAGGGGAAGGGAGGGAAAAATAAACAAGACGAAACCAGAGAGGGAGACAAACCATGAGAGACTCTTAATCGCAGGAAACAAACTGAGGGTTGCTGGAGGGGGAGTAGGGGAAGATGGGGTAACTGGGTGGCGGCCATGAAGGAGGGCATGTGATGTAATGAGCACTGGGTGTAATATGCACCCATTGAATCACTGACCTCCACCTCTGAAACTAATAAACAAACAAACAAAACAACTCAGATAACCTGAAATGAAGGTGCTGTGTGTTTGCTTTCCAACAGAATTATTTTACATATAAAAGGCACGAAGGCAGACCTCATGCACAAGTGGTTTTCTGGAAACAGGAATTTAAATAGTTTTTTATTGTCATGACGATTTTTGAAAAGATAGAGTCACATTTTATATATACTAGGAAAACTATATATTTTCAAAAAGTAATTGCATAATCTTTTTGGAAAGCAAATGCCCACACTCTCTTTTATCATTAATCTTTGTTTTCATATATTCTGCTCTGCTTGCTTACTGTGGACATACCCATGATACGAAATCACTGGTGAGCAGCAGGTCTGGTGATCCGTGTCCTGACTAGGTCAGCTAGAGCGCCTTGGAATTCACCGACGACTGAGGGTGGAGATATGGCCAGGGAAACTGATTTTATGTGCATGGGTTATCAAAGTGTGGTGAAGCCATCATGAGCCTTACCTGTGTTAAAACAAAACAAAACAGAAATTCAACTGAGTAAATTTAAAGATCTAATTAGCTTTATTCATTCGTGAATTGGGCAGCATTCCATCTAGAAGGCAGAAGGGAGCTCTAAGGAGCTGTACAAAATGGAAGGATTTTATAGGCAGAAGAAGGCAAGGTCACCTTCCCTTAGGGCAAGGCAGGCAGAAGACCTCTGGAGTAGGATCAGGACATTCCAGCCTGATGAGTCTCAGTTGCATTCCTGGAAGAGACTGACTCTGCAGTTACAATTAGGTCATCTCTGTGGAGCTTAACATAAGTGATTGCATTTTGGGCCTGTTTCTTTTTGACACTGAGAGTGACCCTTGTTAAAATGCAGTTTTATCTGCATTCAGACCTACTGAACCAGAGCAGGTGTGGCTCAGGGGTCTGAAGCAGCTAAATTATTATAAGGACTGTTGGTGTATATAGGGGCCCCTTCAGAAAACGCTCCCACTGGAAAAGCCTGGTCCTTTCCCCATAGATTACTAATGTTTGAGCACTCTTTTTTTTTTTCCTCTCTTCAAACCCCCACTTTTTCATTCCTTTTTGTCTTTTTCTTGTGATTTTTCCATTAATTTGAAATTCCTTAATTACTTTATTAGGAACATTATTTGCAATTTCTCTGTCTTCCCTCTCTATCCTCTCTACCTTTGACAAAATGTTAGCCAATGATTTCATTGATTTGTCAACCATCATGGAGTGACTATGTTCCTAGATTGGGCTGGGACAATGTAGAGGGTACAAACATGAGTGAGTCTTCTCTGGTCTCTTCAAGAGCTTTTGTTGAGTGAGTCTGATAGAGTCTGAAGTAATTATGGCCACTTGGCCCAACAGAAGCATGGTTTAGTTGTTGGAAACCCTCTCAGACTTCTTTATTGAGCGCTAAGACTTCTGTGTAAGATATGTCTGTCCATACAGATCATTCAGGTGATTTTTTTTTGCAGAACAAAGGGATGATATACCCCCAGAAGCGTATGGCAGTCTCCACCTGATTGAAAACTAAGCTTTTCCAAGGCTTCTGCCATGGAAAGTTCTCCTTAGCCACTGAAACAGTTTGCTTGCTTTAGGATCACAGCCTGCCTTCTGTACAGTGGTTTCTGACACAGTTTTACAAGTTGGCTTTTGAGCTTCCTGGTGGCCAATGCCAGAAATGAGACATGGTAGTTTTCTGTGGATCACACTGTCCAAAAGAAGATGACCTAACAGTTTTTCCAGGGAAATAAAGCGTATCCTACCATGTGTGTTTGAAAGAAGTTTCTAGCTTGGGTCTTCATTTAAAGGCCACTCAGGGATGTAGTGGTATCTTTACAAATAAAGGCAATATTTTTGAGAGTATAGGTGGGAGTCCGAGATTACCTGTCTGTTGTACACCCTTCATCACTTGGTTTTAATTAGAGATGCTATTTTTTATGTTCAGCTGGAGGGTCCCCCCCCCATATCTGATATTAAGCTTTTCGTTAGAAAATAAAAGGCTAGGGGTGCCTGTTGGCTCAGTTGGTTAAGCAACTGCCTTCGGTTTAGGTCATGATCCTGGAGTTCCAGGATCGAGTCCTGCATCGGGCTCCTTGCTCTACAGGGAGTCTGCTTCTCCCTCTGACCCTCCCCCATCTCATGTGCTCTCTCTCAGATAAATAAATAAATAATCTTAAAAAAAAAAAGACTATCTTTGCCTTTAAAAAAAAAAGGCCAAAACTATTAAGTAGATTTGCATTTGAGAAAATATCCTTCCAGTTGAATTAGTTTGTTGCTAGATTATTCATTCGGAAAGATGCCTATCTGTTACATCTAATTCCTGTTAAATTGGACCAATTAGACTTTCCCATAGAGTCAGTGTTTGGCACTGAACAATTCTTAAAATTGTATAATGATGATCACGTGTATACAGGTAAAAATAAAAATGACTCCATTTCTCTTCCCTCCAGTCCAGAAGTGCTCTCTGATTGTCACTATGAGGAAAATAACAGTAATTTAAAAAAATTGTCAGTGATGAGCCCTCACTAGGAAAGAGCTCTCTACCAACAAATAAAGTATAAAAGTGACTTTGCCTCTGGATTTCAGGGAATGACAGACTGTTCCCGAAGATTCTGAAAGTCTCAGTTGCTGTCATTTTGTTTTGTGGGCCTGCACCCTGTGTCTGCAGAACACTGGGTAGCACCACCCTCAGACCGGCTCTGTTTGCCGACTGGGAATATTTGTAGCTATTTAGAATCTGATTAAAGCTAGTTGTTACAGGGGTGCCGGGCGGGGCTCAGTCGGTAAAGCGTCTGCCTTCGGCTCAGGTCATGATCCCAAGGGCCTGGGATCGAGCCCCACATCGGGCTCCCTGCTCAGCGGGGAGCCTGCTTCTCCCTCTCCCTCTGCCTCTCCCCCTGCTTGTGCACTGTCTCTCTCTCTCTGTCAAATAAAAATCTTTAAAAGAAAACCAAAAGACTAGTTGTTACAGATCTGTATTCAGGACAAGTTTTTCTCTCCTTTGATACGTCCCTGTCAACTGACCTATCATCAGAATAACCTGTGAGATTAAAAAAAAAAAAAAATCAGTTTAACAACAGCAATAATATGATGTTGTCCCCAAAGTAAACCTTTATAACTGACTTTTGGGTGAGGAGCAAAGTATTATAAGTAACATAAAAGCAGGACACGGTTGGAAAAGAATGCTTCTGTTCAGTCCATGAAAGAACACAGAGGATGGAGGGTCAGTGGGCAGGTGGGGGAGGGTCAGTGGGCAGGTGGGCGAGGGTCAGGATAGAAGGGTGGGGCTGAGGGGTGGGGGATGAACGTGCGACGGGTGTGGGACAGAGGCCTGCGAGCTGACACAGGGACCTCCTGTTGGGAGTGCTGGTTGTTCGTGTGCTCGCCTGACACAACTTGCCTCCTTTCCTCATCGGAGACCGCGTTGTTCGCAGGTTGTGCCTGTGGCCCGTGTCGCGAGGGGAGGACGTTCGCCAATGCCATCATTTCGCCAGACCTGGAAACTACCAGGATCACGCGGGGGCCTCCGGGCACCCCCGTGGTGGACTGCACGGCCGCATGCTGTGAGCTGGCCGGCTGCGACCTGGCCTGGTGGTTCGAGGGCCGCTGCTACCTGGTGAGCTGCCCACACTTGGAGAGCTGTGAGCCCAAGACGATGGGCTCCATCGGGTCCTACCTCACCTTTGTGCGGAGGCCGGCCCGGCTGCTGGACCATGGGGCGATGATGCTCAACAGGGGGGCCCCCTCGGGACTCTGGGGTGACCCGCCGGAGGATATCAGGAAGGACTTGCCCTTCCTAGGCCAAGAGTGGGGCCCAGAGGAGACGCCAGAATACTCGGACGACTACAGGGAACCCGAGCAAGCCCCCCTCTGGCCCCTCGGCAAGCCGGGGCCCAGAGGGAGCGCCGAGCACATGGCCTGGGGCCCGCGCGTGGTGGGCGGCAGCCCCTCTGCCGGAAGCGGCCTTCCAGGGGCCGCCGAGAAGCAGGACCACCCTGCGCTGCATCCACTGAATGCGTTCTCATGGACCACGGCCCCCCAGCAGTCTCCCGAGAGTGCCTCGTTGCCTCCCTCGGTGACAGTTCCACCATGGGGAGAGGCGTTGGGAAAGGAGGCTTTTCAGCGCCAGGAGCAACCCAGCACCAGCTCTGGAAGAGAGGTGGGCCTGGCTGCTGGGGGCTGGGAGGTGGCTGGGAGGGGCTGTGTGGGCTGGAGGCTGGACCCCTGGGAAGAGAGCTATCAGAGCCTTCCAGGGAAGGGAACGTCCTGTACCTCTACCTCTGCTGTGCCTTCAGGAGCCAGTACTTAGCACTTCTCCCTCGGGATGCCTCTCCCAGGATCTCCGCACGTCCCAGGAGCAGGCCCAGAGGCACAGCACACTTTTCCAAAGAAAACCCACAGGCCCCAGATGGAGTTGATGAAGTTTTAGAATATAAGTGAGGTTCGGCTGTGTGAGGTCTGGAGCCGACGACCAAGAAAGAGTTCCTGAGATGTCTCTGGTGCAAAAAGGTGGTTTTATTAAAGCACGGGGACAGGACCCATGGGCAGAAAGAGCTGCTCTGGTTTGTGAGGTGTGGTTGATTTTATCCTTGGGAGCTGGGGAGGTGAAGTCCAGAAAGACTGTCATACGCTAAAGACTCTCCGGATACTGGAGGCCTGGGTATCGTCAAGCCAAGGCTGTGTCCCCTCTAATGAGGCACCAACATGAAGACAGTTGGGGGTTTCCTGGAGGAATGTTAACGTGCCTCCTATCACACGTCCTTGTCAATGGGCTTCAGGTTTAGAAGAAATTCAATTTTATTTACATTTCCTTCTGCCTCAGCCTCCCTTAATTTTATGGAGGGGAGGGTGATGTTAGGGCTTCAGGAACTGAATTATGGGTCTCTGGAAGTTAGGCTATTGATGAGAAAGCTTCTTCCTTGTAAATCACTCCGACATTTGTAAACTGAGGGAGACTTCAGTCCTGCAGGACTGTGATCTTATCAGTTAACCATTTGTTTTTCCTTTAGGGCAGCCCGGAGTGCCTGAGGAATGTCACATATATCACATGGGGGGGGGGCGTGTAGGGTGTCAGCTGCTGCTTTGTCCTCAGCGAGGCTTCTGCTCCCTCATCATTATCAGTTACCTACAATTGATAGAGTTGTAAAATAGTTCAAATACAAGAAAGTCTAGAATCAGAGAACTGGGAAAGCCTATAGACAGTATTTTATTTTACACTGAAATACAAATTTTGCCCTATATTCAAATTAATTTTTTTTTAGAGATTTTATTTATTTGGCAGAGAGAGAGACAGCCAGTGAGAGAACACAAGCAGGGAGAGCAGGCAGAGGGAGAAGCAGGTTTCCCGCTGAGCAGGGAGCCTGATGCGGGGCTCGATACCAGGACCCTGCGATCATGACCTGAGCCAGAAGCAGATGCTTAAAGACTGAGCCACCCAGGCGCCCCATTCAAATTAATTTTTTTTGAACTGAACTGAGTTGTAGATAATCCTTGAATTAGTGTTGATAAACATTAGATCTGCAGCATAAGAAATATAATTTTATTCGGCTGAAGTAGAAAGTTTGGAATTAATGACAAAAACAGAGATTTCTTCTCTTACCAAAAAAGTGTTTAAAATAGTACAATTGTATTTAATAAAGGTGCCATGAAAATCCCATGGGGAAAAGAATAGTCTTTTCAACAAATGGTACTGGGACAACTGGATATTCCTATACAAAAACTGACTTTAGATCCCTACCTTACGCCCCATAAATTGACTCAAAATGGATTGAAGGGTATCAGAATATGTAACCCCAAAATATGCCCTTTTGGCATAAGGATGACTTGAACTGCTTATTTTTGGGACAATACACTAACAAGAGAAGCTCTTAAAAACAACTTATCCTTTTATAAGGAACTTTACATTTATAAGGGAAATCTCCATTTGTAAGCCTCTCCTCCTCTGAACCAGGAAGAGGGTGATTCCAAATCAGTACAAACTCTTATTGCTGGACAAGGCAGGGACTGAAATCTGTATGTATAACAACCTTACCTTTATTTTCTGTGTTCTTCACGGAAACCTCTCATAACTGGCCCCCCACCTCCAGCATCTCTCTTTGTCTTCGGTAGAATGGCTTCCTTATTTAATTAACTTAATAGCATTCATCTTTAGGGACATGCAGATCAAAGCCATGGTGAGATACCACTTCCCCTGAGTAGCTAGAATTTAAAAGAAAGAGAACAAGTATTAGTAAGGATGGAGAAATGAGAACCCTCGGGCACTGCTGGTGGGAGAATAAAATGGTATAGGCACTTGGAAAACAGTCCAGCAGTTCCTCAAGAACATAAACATAGTGGGGCACCCGGGTGGCTCAGTTGGTTGAATGTCCGACTCTTGATTTCTGCTCAGGTCGTGATCTCAGGGTAGTAAGGTCAAGCCCCGCCTGGGCCTCTATGCTGAGCATGGAGTCTGCTTAGGATTCTGATTCCCTCACCCTTTTCCCCTCCCCCACCCCTGCTGGCACACCCACGCTCTCTCTCTCTAAGAAAAACAAAACAAGGGGCTCCTGGGTGGCTCAGTTAAGCGTCTGCCTTCAGCTCAGGTCATGATCCCAGGGTCCTGGGATCGAGCCCCGCATCAGGCTCCCTGCTTCTCCCTCTCCCCCTGTTTGTGTTCCCTCTCTTGTTGTGTCTCTCCCTGTCAAATAAATAAATAAAATCTTTAAAAACAAAACAAAACAAAAACCTTAAAAAAAAGATAAACATAGAGTTATCATATGACCCAGCCACTCAACCTCTAAGTCTTTACCCAAAAGGAATGAAAGCATTTGTACATACGAGGATGCATAGCCGCGTTATTCATAAAATAGTGTGACTGAACAGGACTAATTCAAGAAATTTGAAACACATCCAGATTAAATTTGTAGAGGATAAACGATGTTTCCTGTGGTTTTGTTTTCAAGTGCGCAAGACCAGAGAGATGCACCTACAAGAAGGTGTTTCACAGTAAATAAGAATAGAAAAAAAGAAACAAGGCATTTGAGACTCTTGTTGACCCAGCCAGATGTAAATTGAAGGTCGAAATGGGGGGCGGGGGGTGCCCATTGCTTCCATGGAGGATCCATTTTCTTTGGGTGGGGTATGTCAAGGAGGACCTGCATGCTGACAACTTAGCCAGGAGCTCTCTGTGGAGGCCATGGATACAGGGCCCAAGAGTGAGTGAGGAACTGGCATGCCCTTCCAGCCTCGAGAGGCGCCGTGGTGGGAAAGGAAATGGTCTGGAGAGGAGGCAGGAGTGGAGTCGTCCCCTCAGCTGTGACCTGGTGGTGGCTGTGAACCCTTCGAGCGGCGCCTTAATGTTTCCCACCACTGTCTATGGACTCCATTCTTTATTTCAACTTGGTAGTAATATTTCAAGACTCTCTAAAACTAAAAAGTCTGGTTTATCTTGTGGCATTTACAGAGGCTGTGGGGGTCTCTTGATCAGATGGGAGGGGCCACCAAATGTGGGGCAAGCTGGTCAGGTGGAGGCAGCAGTGCGGGGGTTGAGAATTCACCCAGGGCAGAACAGAGGAGATAGAAGTTTATTGAACACACTGCAAGGGAGCTGTGGGCAGGACAGCAAAGCACAGAGGGCTGCCAGGAGGTGGTGGTGGGGGGCTGTAGTTAAGGGGGAATTGGGGGGGGGAAGGTGAGGAGGTGTGGGGACGTATGCAGTTTTCCCTTTTTGGGACCTGTGTTCAGGTGTTAGTAGCCCATTGGTCACCTGGGGTTATGGATATTTTGAGGTGCATCACCTTAGAGCCTGTCTGTATTCAAGCCAGGGGGTTAGGGGGCCACTGTGGGCCCTTCTACCTTACTCAGGTTTCTGTTCTCTACAGAGGCATCACGATAATATGCTGTGAACACCTGTTCTGGAGCTCTGGTTTGCAGGGATTCTGAACTTCCTACTATTCTCAGCACAGATGCGATGAACAGTCTCTTGTATTAGCACTCACTTTACAAACCTTGATGTCTGAAACCTCAAAGAAACCAAGCATCTTAAAATTGTGGTCGACCCTGTAGGAGTTCAGAATGTCATCCCCAAACATGGCACTTTGGCATATAGATTATTTTGAATTAATGGTACCGAGGAAACGATGGTGTAGGAAGGACAATCTGACCCACCTCCCTGCACCAGGAGGGCATTTAGGAGGGAAGACTGTATTCAAGAAGACAATATACACAAACCCTGTTCCTTCTTTACCATTAACTGCCCCCAAGTCGAGACCCCTTTGTCTTGTCAATTCTTCACAAATCTATTATTTCTTTGTCTAAAATGTATTAAATCTTCTGTTTTGGCCATTTCTTTGCATTTCCTATCTTTACGGGATACCTGTACATACATTTGTACATACGTAATTAAATTTGTTTTTCTTCTGTTAATCTGCCTTTTCATTATGGGGAGTGGTGGTCTCACCCAAAAAGCTAGGAGGGTATAAGGAAAATTAATTTTCTTTTCCTATAACCCACTACCTGTTGTTGTTTTTTTTTTTTTTT